AGCAGAACGTGATCCTGTATTTGCAGTTTTATTGGCTGTCATACAAATTTGACCAATGGAATTGCGAGGGATCTGCTTGCCGAATTTGCCAAAAATAGACCTACAGATTAAGGGAACAGCACTAGTCGCTTATTTTCAGAAAAAGCAACCACATCCCAAATATCGTTTAAAACGATAAAAAACTAGATATACCAATTTTATCAATAAATCTAATTGCGAAAAATGTTTTACATTCACAAGTGAATTCTTTCTCGGAGTATTAATTGGCTTCGTTCTCGGCCTGTTGTTATGTAATGGTCGGCCTAATATTAGCTACTGTTAACTCATGGTTGGGTTTACCTCCGCCCGCAAGGGGAACGCGCTAAATAATACGGAAGCCTTAATTCAAACGATAAAGTTGCTACCCATAACAAAACTGTCGGCGACGAACAAAATTTACTCGCCAGACATCGAAAAGCGTGGAACGATCTAGAACGATTATACGACAGCAAAAGAATTAAATTGGATCCAAAATTTTCATTTAACAAAATGTCATTGAAAATTTATAAACTACTTGAAGAAACTGCTTCTACAATCTGAAACTTTTATCTTCGAGGAACAACTCCGCGGGAAAAGACCAATGTTGGATTGACGAAGAAAAGAAGGAAAATGTGGACTATTAAAATGGAGACGATGAAAATGAAGAAATATATAATAATGATGATGTTCTTAATAATAGCGATAGTTAAAACTTAAAAATTTGCACCGGAGTGACCAAAGAATAGGTTATATAAATAGCTTTGGGTCCGAGTATTTTCCTCCCATGCAATCACTCTAGTGCTTTTACTATTATTTATAATTTCGAGAGCGCGCATTTAATAATCGAAATAATAAATTTATGCTTACGAAAAAGTTGAAATATTTTTATGTTATTTGACGCTTTTAATTGCAATTGTGTCAATGCTCAACGGATGCGCTTAAGCAGACTTTTTATCATGACTATAAAGAACGATCTTTGTTTATAAGTCGTTCGATCAGTGGAGGCCTTTCACGTTAAACTGCTTCCCTTTACCTTTTTTCAAGTTTTCGTTTCTTTCTTGGTTCATCATGTGTTGGCATTAATGCGCGTTTAGTAGTTATGATTTTCCGTTTTTCTTGATAGATTTCATAAGTAATTTTTTCTTGATCTAGATATTCTTGGAGAGTTTGGGTATCATTGATTTAAAACATAGGAAGCAATATTTTCACTTTGAGCTTTTTTTAGAATGCTTCTAATGGTGCTGTAATTCTTGGGTTCCATAGCGGATTTAATGTAAATTAGTTTCATATTAATATTTTTATGTATAGAGGTAATCCTATATATATATTAATCCTGTTATGGTTTATATTCACATTCTGGTATGATAAAGTGAAAATTAAATTAATAGTCCATAGTTACAAATGAACATTATTACTTTTTAAAAATATCAGTCATACTGGTTAATTTTACAGCCACATCATAACTCTGTTACTCATTTATAGAATGTTCACTTTGTCTGGTTTGTTGCAGTCTGCCCCATATTTCTTGATATAATAGAACATACAGTATGTGCTGTTGAGAAGGAGTAGCTCTAGATGTTTTGAATGTTAGCATCCCATAATTAAACAAAATAATACTCTGTTCCATCTCCTGGAGGTAATCTGCCAAGAATAGGTCCACAAAAAATGCTACCACAATAGAGGAGGGTTGCAACTCCAAATTTTCTTGATCTTGCAGGTGACATTGCAGAGATAAGTATTACTAGACACTTTCGTCTCACTAATCAGAATGATTTTCCAACATCATCTGAACTGCAGGTATCTCTTATACTAACGAATCAAATTCGCATTCGGTGAGAGGTATCTTCAAGTCTTCAGAGAGTTCTTTATCAATGTATTTTTTAATATTAAGAGATTCAATATCTGGAAGTGTCATCATAGGTTGCTTTCTAAGTTTATCAAGAACTTGACCACTGACATCTTTGTATAATAATAGTATGGCATTAACTGTTAGTAGTTACCCGTTACTATTGATAATCATTAAAGACAGATTTTTACCTTTTTCACTTCTACCACAAGCTCAATCACACATTTTCTGAGTATGTCTATGGTTTTTGTATGCACAATTACATCAGCTGTGCCATGCAGGTGAGGAGCATCAAAGCAGGATTTGTTTTGACTTATATTCAATACAACATGATTCTTAAGATATTCAAGTCCAAGAAAGTCGATTAGAAATTATGAGTCGGGAATTTGTCTGATATTTTTCAGCTGAAATTACTACGATGAATATTCGACGAAATACTCATGAGTCTTGGGATATTACTAATAAGCGAAGGATACTGCGTTACAAATAAATTCCTGGAGCTGATGTTAGTCAACGGTCACGGGATATGTCCATCAAAAAGTAAAATATTTGTCCTTATATCAGATAAATCAATCTTACTCAAAGCGAATATATCCAAAATTTTGAAGTATCTTCTAATAAGACTTGGTTTGATCACGTGATTATTCATGGGAAAACGGTAAAAAAGCAAAGCCGGGTTTAATCACAGGCCAGTTATCTTTATTAACAACAGGATATCACGAAAGCTGTCATGTCTTTACGCTCTCACGATTGAATCGGAGCAAGCGGTACGCCCATAAGAATACTGAAGGCTTCTCCCTTGTGATAGATTCTTTATGCCCGAGAGTAGTATTTTCGTAAGATCGGAAACAGTCCACGTATAATCAAGAAGAGTGAATAACCGATGACGTTGGCATTATTGTTCGTTGGTTTTCTGACTTATTTCATAAGGCGAGTGCATACGTTTAGTGACAGGCAGGCTTACGCACAAGATGGCCGTTATAGCACAGTTTCATCATGGGTAATGGGGCCCGAGATAGGGGTTTACAAAAAAGTTGTCCGGAAGTAAAGAATGTGGGGTATGTGATATAAAGGGAGATGCTATTACTTAGTGATATAGATTCTGCAATTCCACATTTTTCACTTTTATTCTTCCATCAAATACTATTACTATGTCCAATGTACCATTGCTGATAATTTCGTTTTCATCAAGAACATAATTTGCTGCACCTTACGCGAACTGAAAAGATCACCAAAATTTAGTCCATGTTGTGCACTGTGTCACAAGATCAAAGACATGTCTGTAGTAAAAGGTTCCCTTTGTCTGTTTTGTTGCAGCCTATCCCATATATAAGTCTGATGTTCGCATATTCACCCGCAGTTTGACTCTTCAACCGCTCTTGAATATGGCCAGCACTGACGAATCTGTCGTTCCGATAGACTCTCTCGCAGAAGAGACCCAGTAAGTACTACGACTCCCACACTCAGTCTTACGAAATAGTCGACTAGTTAATCCGTCCGCCTATTTACTTAATAACGCTACCACGGATTTCCTAGGGATGCTCACAAACTCTATTTACTGTCTCGCTCAGAGAGAATGCGAGGCGTTGCAAATAGAATCTTATATTCAAAGTTTTATACCTGGTTGTATTTGGGCATGGCTTTACTTAGTATTGTGTCCATCGTACTGGTAAGCGGGCATATGCTTGATCGAGGGATATGCTCGTATCTGATCTCTAATGTCGTTTTGTTTCTTCCTACTCACAGTCAATAAAGGAGAAATGGTGAGTACATAACTTATTAATATATGGGTATACTCAATAGGAATTCTTTTGATACGACGTCGTATTACGATAGCATCGTATATGCTTACCCTGAATCTTCTTCTTTTGCAAAGTCCATCAATGCTGTTCATCGTTCTTGAAATAACCATAAACGTAGTTATGATAACAGAGGTTTTGACGCGATTTATAGCATTACGAAAGGTAAACGAATCTGTCTGCGTCTCAAGAGACTCGGCTACTTGCTTGACTCACTCTTTGCAAATTTCAATTGTGCGCAGTTGTACTGGAAATCAGTCTACAATATCGTAGATCTCGTACTGGTATTACTTTGCTTAGTGACGTTAATATTTATTGTCACGGACGGATGCTCTGAGCATAGGTCGGAAGAAATATTTGATACTCTCCTATTGGTTATAAGGAATTTGATGCAATTTGGAAGATTATTCATTATGCTGAGAAAGTAAGGACTTTATATGGAATGACAAAAAGTAATGGTTGAATAATTAGAACGGAAATGTTTTATTGATATCCTTTCACTTCTTTTTAGAAATCAAAAGAATAGAACTGCTCGAAATGCAAGAGTAGACTTTTCGCGAAGGGATCCAAGCATGTCGATAGACTTTGATGCACAGGCAGCCTTTGCTCTAATTAACGATGAAGATGAAGACTTTTTATAATTCTGATATTAATCGATGAGGGAATCGTGATATTATACATTAGAAATGTACATTAAATTCTTCTGCGCACTAATCTACTCTATCCAATTCTACCTATAATAATAAAAATTTCGGTCAGCAAAGTATAAAGCATTTATTACACTTGCATGTTGGTTAGTATTACATCTATTCATAAATATATTACAAATACCAGGCTCTCCTTGATTGTGCATCCAGATCGTTCTCCCAATCTACCCATTCGTCATTTTGCCCGGGATCCACGTCCATAGGATCATCCGCATAAGCGGATTGTTCGGTCTTACTAGAGTGCTTTTTTATATTGGTGGGTTTAAATCTACTGCTTTTGAAATTCCGATACTTGTTTAAATCAATATCATTCACTACAAATTCGTTACAATCATCGTTAGCCTTGTGTCTTTTTTGAGTTAATCAATTGGTAATACAAGAGCCAACCTTTTGGAGAAGTCTTCCGTTTTGGCCATGGGGCTCCTTTGAACGCAACAGACTTTTTCTCTGCGGGATCTTTCATGCGAGGCCTCAAACCTAAATGCAAAAACATTGGGAAAAGAAATAAATCATGTTAAACGTATCATTAATTATCGTTATAATAATGCCATCAATAAACTTACGTAGCTTGGAGCTCGTTGCTTCGCTTTTTGGATCACAGTATATGTCTGTGTCAACTTTATATATTGCAGTGAGCACTTCATCTTGGCTTATTAAACGCATGTTCATGGTCCTCAAAATAAGACATAGCATACTGCATAACTCTGCGTTTGTTGGAGTCAAATAACAGACACGATGAGCATCTGCAAGTTTGATCTCATTCTTGGCAATTACAGTACACAACTCATGTTCAGTTAGCGTGGGTATCGAATACAGCTCTATCTTTCCACCGACTTTCTTTATTAGTTGCATCACGGCGCTTGTCTTGTTCTATGTTCAAAATATACTCAGTATAATCATATCAATGCGTTCATTAAACCAGAATTCACTTACATATTGCTCCTCGGGAAGCACAAACACGGTCCCAGAGAATAATGTCTTTCTTTTCACGTTGGTTTTAAATAGTTCTAAATGTAGTCGAGGAACTTCATCCTTTGCTTCGGGAAGATAGTCGGTTTCGTCTGGTAGATGAAACAATCGGAGTAGGGTTCCATCCCTCATAACTTCTAAATTCTCTATCCATTTAGGATTTATTATTGGTTTGACTTCGGCCAAAGCATGAAGCACGGTATAGTCGAATATATAGTGTCGCATTAAAAGATGCGTACAGTCCGAATTCCATTCATACGAGTATTGAATATCTAAAGTAGACAGAGGAGGAGGACGATAAGCCGCTGAAGCAACGTTGTGAAAGACAGATCTCTCGAGACACATACCGTGATCTCGCAAACAGCTCTCCCATTTGTATACTTCGCCATCGGTGAAACCATATTCTTTTTTTTGTATGCAAATAACAATAGGATGCCACTTTATCCTACGCAATAAAGATTAGAATTTTTCTAAAATCAGAGACGCACATTGAATTTGAGATTAAAACACACCAGCTATCGCACGTACTCAAATACGACAACGTTAGGTATTTCTATCTTATCACCATGTGAGAGGTCAATATATTCATCATCAACCAGCACGTCATTAACGTATAACCCATGTTGACAGCCGAAATCCACAAGTTTTATTCCTGAACGCTTCTTTATGTCGACCTAGTTAATGTTAGTAGTACGCAATATGGTCTAGTCGTCAAAAAGAGTACGAACGTGCTGAACGATCATGTGGTAATTGTTCGAAAATACCTACACTTTGTATAGAGTCGCTTGCAAAACATATTGCCGCACTAACAAATGCATTTGGCTCGTCACAATTAAGGACAATGTCGTATGCTGGCAAAGAAATATATAAGTTCATAACGAAGCTTTGGTGTCTTACTCAAGCAGCAACAAGATCAAAAGTGTATACTCACAATCAGCACGCAGACCTAAAGTTATACAGCCGTATATTGGTTGAAGCCAGTATTTCCTGTCTATTTTTTTTTGCCAAGTTATAGATCGTTATTCGGTTTGACTTTAAGCGAGTTGCTTTTACTTACCATGTCCACGATTCTTGAAATCTAAATACCACATTTCAAGAAGTCGAGAGTAACCCTGTGTTGGGTCTGTGGGGACCGAGATTAAATCGAATACCGGATTTGATCTGCAATTAATTACATGGTGCTACAGCGCTGCGGACTGCGGACTGCAGGAAATTGTAGGACTAGTACTAGTATTATCATTATAACCTGTCTCTGTATTTGGCAGTAATGTTAGTTTCCAAAGTATTGTTCTCAGAGCGTTGTATTTCGAATAATATTTATACTTTTTGTATTTCATATTTATAGTTCTAAACACCGTTTGCCTTATCTAAAAGTGTCGGATTATTAATTGGGGCAGACTGCAACAAAACCAGACAGTGAACATTCTGTTTTGTGACATAAAATGAGAGGCTGATTATTATGTGGCTGGAAAATTGACCAGTGTGACTGATGACATTTTGAAAAGTAATAGTGTGCTTATGGACTTGTTAATTTTAATGCTCACTATCATACCAGAATGTGAGGAATATAAACCATAACAGGATTAATATAGGATTACCTCTATATATAAAAATATTAATATGAAACTAATTTAC